AATCTGACCATCAGTCATTCTCACAACATGCCCAAGCCAACGTAGACGTCGCTATTTCAGTAATGTATACATGCTAAAAATTCCAGCTCGTTCTAGGACTACTCTATTTGGAACTTTGTCCTGCCAGGTGATACCAAAAATCCGTCGGAGACAACGCATATGGAACATATTCAGCTTCCTCTCCTGCCGTGTACAAAGGGTCCAGGACTCACTGCAGTACATGAGTGTACTCAAGACACAGGCTCTATAGACCTGGATCATGGTATATGCCATCAGCTTTTTATTGAGACATACTCTCTTTGTGAATCTTGAGAACATGGTAGCTGCTTTGCCAATGTTGGCTCTGTTACATAGCTGTAAAACAAATGGTGTCACATTCACATGTTTCTAGCCACATTAATGAATCCCCACTAGAATTCTTGTGCACACTCCAAGCCAGCATGTACATGCACCCCTGAGAATCACAGTGGCAACTCGTTAATTGCCAGCTAAAAGCAACTGAATACTATGCGTTTTCCTTCCACTTACATATACAACAGGATTTCAATCATTCACAGACAAGCTGAGAGTTGCTGCACATTCCTATTACTGAGCATGCTACTATTATATCCTGTGTGTGTTTTCTAGAAAGTCAGTACTTTGATTTTGGATTTTTACTTTGGAAGAAGATGCCGGTGGGATTAACTATTTGTAAGTGATTTGCAATGAAAATGTATGGAACTAGTTTTATTTGGGGGGCGGGGGAAAACTGATTTTTTTTAATGTGGATCATTCAATAATGCACATTTTAAAATCAGCTTGATTTCAACAGAATTGGGTACATATTATGGTATACCCGTCTGCTATCAGTCAACATCCCAAAATGTTTCACATTATTTGATGAGTTAGTACTTTACATATTATAACTAGTACAATAATGTGCTTCTGTTTTAGGTCATGAGTTTAGACCAAATGAACGAACTGCGGTGACCTTATGATGCAAAGCTACCAATGTTGAACAACTGTACATCTTAGCAACAACCTATCTGTGAGATTGCTGAGATAAATCTGCATTAAATAAATGTTGTTCTGTGCCATCAAGTTGGAACTAACATACAGCAACACTAATAGGGCTTTCAGGGTAAGTGAGATAGGTTAAGAGTGGTTTTGTCAGTTTCATACCTCCAGTGAGTTTCCTTTGGTGAGCAGACAATTGAACCCAGGCCTCCAGAGTTCTAGTCTGTCACTCTATTCACTATACTACACTACACTGGGTATCTATCAATCAATCAATCAATCAATCAATCAACCAAACAACCAACCAACCAAACAACCAACCAACCAACCAAGCAATCGTTGGAGTAATCATCAAAGTAATATTTGCTACAGGACTCTAAAGCAAAGCACTGTTTCAATGCTCTTTCCTATTTTTATATGAGATATATATTTTCATTTCAGTACTGAGAAGGCTTCAGATCATAAAAACCTCACAGGAATTAAAAGCACAACATTACTATTATAGTGAATAATCTGATCACTAATACACAAGGATTCACCTCAAATTAAGCAATCAAAGCAGTAGAGCTTGATCTCAATCAACCAAACGCTTAATCTTCCTTATTTCAACAGCACCATTCAACTATGAGCTCCCTCACCATTTCCATTACAGACTCCTACTCCTTTGAGCTTATTGTCTTGGCGCTTTACATTTTTAACAGGATAAAGGAGACTGTAATTTTCTAGCCAAATGCAAGTTATTCTGTGGGATATATGACTGTTTTATTTCATTTCATTTAAAAAGTGGGAAGAACAATTTTGCTCACAGTGAAATTAGTATTGATAGGAAGAGTTAGGCAAGAAAACCAGTGATCATCGAGACTAGCCTACAAAATAGTCTATACGATCTTGTGTCACCCAGTTAATCGGCTTAGATCTATTCTCTTATAGAAGATAGTGTCTGTTATCTTATAGAATAAAGTGTTTCATTCGGCCTGGTTTACTGGTGTTCATTCTAGTCATCCTCCCATTTAAATCACTGCAATTCCTACACAAACTAGTATGGAAGCATCAGCTGGTCCAAAAATATGGTTAGAACTTGGACAATCATGTTGTGCCAGTACCTTGTCATGGGTACTGGTTGATGGGCACAGTTTTTATGTTTACTGTTCTAAACAGCTTGGACCAGATTACCTGAAGGAGAATGCTGTCCATTATCTACAGACCCTGGATTCCAAGATCAGTCCCTGTCTGAGAGTGCCCTCCAGCAGCCTCTATTAATGAGGAGAAGTAATAAAATTGTTTTCTTCTTCTTCTGGGCAAGACAGTATGCCCTGCTTATGGAAGATCATCTACTGGCAAGTCCTACAAGCTTTATGGTCTTCCTAAAACCAGGCAACAACTTTTCTACATTTTTCATTTTTCTACATATTTTAAGAACTGCTTTACACATTTTAGAATTTCTAATTGTTTCATTCTGCTGCTGTGTTGGTTTTGTGTAGCACTTTTTTCTTTTGCGTCAATCCCAGACTAACCATAGGGCTGAGTTTTAGCAGCAGTGGTTCTGGGGCTGAAGATGTGGTGGGTGCAATTTTGGGGTCAGGCCTTCCCAGGGGTCCTTGTACTAATGCTGGACTGCTCCTACCCAAGATTTGAATCAGGCAATACAGGAGGCCAAAGGGCAAGAGCAGTCATTCAGGGAGGCTGGAAGGACAGGGTTTCCAATCCAATCCACCCGGGGAACATAAAACCAGCACCTCCAGAGCTCACTTTATTTTTGGTAGCTTTTTCCTCCAAACCTCTCTCAAAGTTCAAGTGTAGTTTAGTTAAGAACAGAATTAAAAATGTAGTTTAGTCAATAAAAACTGTTTAGTTACTTGTCACAACTTTCTTGGAAAGGTTTTTGAAGCATGGAAATGGATCTATTGGCAGCTATAACCAATAAAATTCTGGCCAATTATGCCAAAACGTGTGTGCATGCATATGTATGTGTTTATTTGAACTCTTCCCCTTGACTACCATCAGATGTGCTGAATTTTTTTAAATCTTGGTTTTCTTTTCTTTTCCAATTTGGCTGTCCACTGCCTGGAAAACTATTATTGGTATGTAACAAATAGCTAATTAAATGGCATATCAAGATAGACATTTCTCATGTATCCAAAGGTATTGCAAAACTAGAAGTGCTAGGAACCAGTTGCTTTCAAAAAAGAATGTGGTTCTCTCCTCAAACATTACTCCGTTTTTGTGGCTCTCTCCTGTGTATCTTACAACTAACTGCATCAGATAAAAGATCAACAAAATATCTACTTACCCATCTACCTACATATCTGTGAATATTGAAATATATCAGAATGATCAACAGATCACATTTCATGGTAGCTATTTGTAAATGCTGGTGTTACTTATCAGAAGACAGTACGTTAAACAATGTGACCCAAATAAGGGAAAGATAAGCATAACCGTATCTCTACTGTGACTGAGTGAACTCTTAATACAATCCTACTTTAGAGATGAGGTTACCCTGATGAATTTCTGTTTAAAGAAAAGGAACAGGGAAAAGAAAAAGAAAAAGAAAGAAAACCAAGTGTGTAATTTGTCCACTGTAAGTTCCCAATAGCAGGAAGCAGATTTTAGCCGCCTAGAGTGGTCCTGACCCGACCAGACAGGCAGGATATAAATAAAATAAATAGTAATAATATTTTTTTTAGGCATTTAGCAATCATGTAAAATTGTGTAGTAAAAAATATTAAATTATCACATGAACATTTCCTTGAAGCTATCAAAAATGCTTTCCTGGCCGCATGAGATCCTGCCTTTTAGGTATAGCACCTCGAGCTGCATCAAGCATTGCTATGGACGCTTCTCATATCCCAAGAGCAGTTGGGAGAAGAAGATGATCATAAAAGGAACCTAAATTAGGCTTTCCTGAAGCTGACTGACTACTCAGTGTCCTGTAACCAAGACAGATCAAAACCACTGAATGCCAACACAGTGTGTTTATTTCACTACTAAAACTTCAAAATCCTTGAAAACAATATAAAGAAAAATAAGTCATCAGAAATTAAGTTACAAGAATTCTCCTGTACATGGAATGAAAACTAATCTAAAAATTAAGCATCCCTTTTCACGTACTCAAATACCCTCAAAGTTCCAGATCTAAAAATTCTTAAGCAGAGGTTAGGGAAGTTACTTTTAGGGCTACAGGACTTTGAGGGAGTTGTAGTCAAAGCAGTAGATTTTCAATCCCAGTTTTTAAAGCACAAAGACACCAACCTACCACATTAAAACTCTGATTTGAATTGTATCGACTGGAAGTGAAGTTCCTGTGATCCCAGCTAACTTACACTATAGTAAGTATCCTTTGGACTTCAGCTTAAGGCTATAATTCCATGTGAACTATTGGCGGCAGTAAGCTCCAATTAACTTGTGAGCCATATTTCTTTAAGAATTTCATACCATAAGCCTCCTCTCCAACCAACTGCTTGTTAAATGGATTCTCGCCTTAGATGTGATCTGACTATGCAAAGCCCATGAAAAGCTCCAAATGAAACTGGTCTTTGAAGGACAGGGAATCTATAAAGTTTCAAATAACCTGCCGGACCAAATCACCACCGCCTGTGAAATACAGCATAAACTTGGGCTACAATCCATTTGTATGCTGCTAAATTCTCCAAGACTACTTTCTAAATTTAGATACATATGACAGCTATAAGGCTACATCCCTGAATGCACCTATTGAATAAATATCATCACTGAACAAAGAACAACTTTCTTCTGAGTAAACATGTGCATGATTCTACAGTACAGAGACTATGATTTAATCACAACTGCCAGCATAATACTCAATTTTGCCTGAAGTGCGCTGGTGCTTCCAGGTTTATGTGTTCACTGGGTTCAGTTTGATGTTGTATACAAGATATGTTTCAATGTAGTAGGCATATTCAAAGGCAAACGAGAGCAAGGCAGAATGCCACATCCATGCATTTGCTTCATTCTATCAAGAGCCAACATGAACATTTATTTACCTTTCTTAGTGGTTTCTGTCAAGCAATCTTCAGGTACAGCCAATCAAAAAGGCCAGTCTTCTCACCCTGGAGACAAAAGAGGTTATCACACTGTTACTAACTGATCAGACTTGGGGAGGGGGGAATCAGTGGTGCCATATTAACAAGGACAACTATAAATAAAACAACAAATGAATCCAATTGTATTTAATGGTGAATGACTTTCAGAGAGATCTAATAAAAACAATCAAGTCACAGGACAGTCAGTTATCAGTACCAGCCATTGTAAAGCTCAGTTCAACAAACAAAATCTGCTCGTTGGGGGCAAAGAAAAACTCCAGAGATGACACCCACTGTTCTCTAGCACAAACTTTCCTAATCTTTATGTCTATTCGGTTATTTTCTCTTTGAATAATACATTACTCAGAAGTCTTTGTTCTCAGATATTGGGTAAGTTTCAGTTCAACATATATATATCCATGTATTGATCCTAATTCTTTTAAGGCTTATTTTTATTGTCACAGTCCTTGTTCTCATTGTTCATTTAAAAAAACACAAAGAGAGATAGAGGTATTATCTTAGTTAAAATTCTTTGAATCTTTAAAGAAAAATGGCTGTTCCATTCAAATTCCCCCAACACACACACACACACACACAGAGAGAGAGAGAGAGAGAGAGAGAGAGAGAGAGAGAGAGAGAGAGAGAGAGAGAGAACACCCACACACAGAGAGAGAGAGGGAGAGAAAGAGAGAGAGAGAGAGAGAGAGAGAGAGAGAGAATATTGTTTTCTAAAGTATATAGAACACAAGTCAATACAGCATTGTGGATGTTGTTCTAAAAAATGGAAAAGTCCACTGATGTGAAAGAAGGAAATCTATGTTTTCAACATGTAAACATGATACTATTCTCCTCTATGCAAGACCTTAAGAAACAGGACAGGTGATTTTGAAATCAGAATCATTGTATGGAAGAAGTGGAAAAAGTATTTACCCTACACGGAGATAAAAAAGCAAATGCTAATATTGATTAGGGCCAAATACGGTTGTTAGTCCCAATTACACTAGACCTACTCTATAATTATGTAACTTCCACAGATTCAATGTGTCTACCCTACTGGGTCTTCAGGTGGAATGAGCCCTCAGACTGAATAAAAGATCAAAGTACTAAATGTACTGTTAAGGTGCACTTCTATGTATTCTCGAAGGCTTTCACAGCCAGGATCTGATGGTTGTTGTGGGTTTTTCAGGCTCTTTGGCCATGTTCTGAAGGTTGTTCTTCCTGACGTTTCGCCAGTCTCTGTGGCCGGCATCTTCAGAGGACTGGAATAGGAACTCAGTCCATGCTCTGTTGCTGTTTGTTGGATAGTAATCCTCTATGTTCATGGAAACATTTCCCTCAGTCCATATGATAAATATGAAAATTCCCTAATCTCTAATTTTGCTGGGAAAGAGAAGCGTTTTCTAATTTCTTACTTTGTGAAAACACTATAAGTGTCTTCTAAATTACTAAACAAATAATTCTAGATCAGGTGTCTCCAAACTTTTCAGCATGAGGGCAACATCATATATTTTACACATTTTTGAGGGCCGAAGTAACACGTGCACGCACGGATGTATAGGCTGAAGGGAACGAACCTGAGCCTGCGGTGTTCGCTGGGCCAGATAAAAAGGCAAGGCAGGTCAGATGTGGCCCATGTGCCATAGTTTGGAGGCCCCTGTTCTAGATATTACTTTGGTGCAATACCAGTTCAATACTTAGATACCCAATAAATGCACAATGTACATCTGGAATACCAGCAGCTCTGAAATATTACAAAACAAAGTACAAATCTCCTGAAAATGATTTCTGTCCTACCTAAATGTCATGTCTGACGTTTCACAAAGCTAAACAGTGTGAACATATTATAGACAGGCATGTTATATTCACTTAATTCAGATATCATGCTACAATATACTTTCAGTTATGTCTGGATTGGTTTGTGGTTGATTAGCAAACTGGAATCTACATTAATTGTCTAAATGGATTTCCAAATCAAATCAACCTTTTACACAATGAACAAAACTGTCCCCAGCCCTCTGGGACAGTTTTGCAAATAATATGGGTGCTTGGGCCAGTTCTATAGTATTTAATATCTTCCCATTTTGAAAGAATAGTTCAAGAAGATCAGTTTTCCTTGTCACAAGAGACAGGAAAAATCATTCTACTGGCAGATGCCATTCAACTGGCAGACAAACACAGCTGGATAGAATCCTGAATCTGTAATTTCCCTCCTCTAGGTTTAGTCCAGATCCAATATCATCAGACAAAAAAATATTATACTGTAGCATAAGTCTCGCCCACAGCTGGGCCTCCTCAAATGGCAAACATAAGTTTCAACATTTCTTACCTTGTAAATTGTGCTAAAATAGTCTATGTGTCAATTTTACAAGTACCTAGCACATATGTAAAATATAAATTGTTTGAAGTATGTAATGCTGAAACTGAATATATAGCACAGCAGAGTTTTTTTAATTTTCATATACATAAAACATACAAGAAATACCTCTCTGATCACCCTGAGTAAAGAAGTGGTACATATTCTACACAATACTTAATGGTTGGACAAACCACAAGAACTCAAAAGAATACATTACAATCAATTCTTCCAAACTAAAAGCCCATTCTACATGTTTCTACGTGGCCCCTTTTCTTTTCTTTTCTTTTGTTGTTATTGTTGTTGTTGTTATAATTTTGAACAAATGACAGGTCAGACAACAGCTAATCATTTTGCATTCAAATTAAAAAGCTCAAAGAAAAAATGTATTATAGTACAATCGTAAGAATTTTTATTTTTATTTTTTACTTGGAAGTAAAACATATTATGTGTAATGAATTTACTTTTTGAGAAACCTGCTTAGGATTTTTGCCTAATTAAGGCTGAAATATTTAATACACTACTTGGAGGGTAAGCCCCATTGGATACAATAAACATGTATAGGATTGACTGTGAAACTTAATCAACTAGATGGTAATTGTTCTAAGATGTTTTAGACAAGGTGCTAAAAATAGGCACATATTTTCATATGTGGTGGGAATGTGAGTATATACTTTATATACACTTTATATATAATTTATAAAGTAAAATTTATATACACATACATTTTGATAAATGTTTTTAAAGAAATAAATAAGTAGCTTAAAGTTAGCTTTATGTCCTAAAATGGCACTTTTATCAATATTTGGAAGGGACACGGATAAGTGGATGATGAGAGAACTAATTTCTAATTTGTTAACAGCAGCAGGGTTTGACAGGGGCTGGACTCAATGATATACAATGTTTGATCTAACCGTGCTGTTCCAAGACTAGTTACTGCTAGGAATTGGAAATTATAATATATTCTTAACTGAATAGTACAGAGAAGTTTGGGATATAGAAATTAATGATAAACTTGCATGTAATGTTAAAGTTAAGAAGAGGATAATTAGCAAATATGAGTTTGCAGACATACAGGGAGAATTTATTTTGTACTGATAAAGGGGAAAGGACAAAGTGTTACATATGTATCTATACAATTCTGGAAAGGGAAGAAGTCCAAGCAAGGGAAAAGATTCAAGCGATTACTCCCTAATGGTTTTGGTGGTGGGGTGCACAATGTATGTAGTTTGTCTTTTTATCATTTGTTTATTAGATATTTTAACCTTTATTAATTGTTATGGTTTTTAAATGTTTTATTTAAAGGATTGCATTGTTACTGTGTTAATTTGAAATAATTACGTTCCAGTTAATTAATTCTTAATTTTACTTAAAGTACTATCAGTACAGTTAATATATACATTAATGATGTCCTGCTTATTATAAAACTTGAGATACCCTTAAGATACATTGATCTTCTGATAGACCAGTTATTTCATTTATGTGCATTAAAACTAACAAAACAGAGGCAACTCTTGTGGGATTCTTAAAGATTCTAATACATTCTAATTATCAGACATTTAAAATATTCAGTCAAATACACAAATTCTAACTTATGGTGATAAGGAAATCAAGTTATCAAAATCCCTCTATGTATTTCTAAACCTATCAATTAAACACCATTCTGTAACTGCTTTCACAAGAATCGCCATCCTAAATCTTTGTCTTGCAAAATTAAAATGAATAACCTAGGAGATTATATCCCTCTCTACATAACAATAGCTCTGTAGCAGCCACTGCAGTTGTAAGGCTTCATGGTAAGAAGGGCAAAAAAGTATTTTGCTTCCTACCATGTTTTGCTGAAAAAAGACAGGGTCTTATATCAATTATTGCTTCCAAAATGCATTAGGGCTTATTTTCAGGGGATGTTTCATTTTTTCATGTACAACAATCTACATTTATTCAAATACACCGATGTCATCTTCTGGTTGCTGCACAATGGTGGAGGGCAGGGTTTCACTTAATTGGAGCTTATTTGGGGGTAGGGCTTATATTACGGGCACCCTGAAAAATCATAATAGGACTTATTTTCAGGTTAGGTTTTATTTACAGGGAAACAGGATATGTATACTTTTATCAATTAGGCTTCAACACCTTAAAAACATTTTTGAACAAACATCATTACTGGACACTGATAAACGTTCTGAAATGTCTTCCAGTTCATAGATTTGCTGACACATCAAAGAAATATGTTTTTCACATAAAAATCCTAGCTGGGTTTCAAATTTGGATACAGAACACATTTTAGTACTCCACCAATGAACCACCACAGGATTCTTTTGCTACAAAAGACTCCACCCTCCCTTTCAAATTCCTATGAACCAAAGAGTTTCACTCTCTCTTTTATGTGAAGAAGAGGGAAACATGTTCACAGCTTTCGAATTCTCACTGTCAAGGTAAAACTTTCTTCCTTCCAGTGAAGCAGCAATTCTGAAGACCGGCTAATTTTTTTTAAAGTTCCAGTATGTGGATTATTATCCTATTCTATACAAAAGTGAAACCCTTGGCTATGGTCATGTGAAAATATTTTTGGAGGCATCCTTTAATCACTTTTAAATGTTGAAGCACTAAAAAAACAGTATTTGCTGTTGTAACTTTGAAGCTCTAACAAAAGCTTTGTTTTAGCATTTACCAC